CATTTTTTTCATTTTACGGTTACTTTTTATCATGTTATACTTACATTAGACACAATGTTATAAATGCATATGTGTGTATGTGTGAGTTTATTTATTTATAGTATCATTAAAGTGTAGTGTATATTAATATACAACCGATAGACTAGGTAATTGATTTGACGCTATATTATTTAAACCCAACTAAACGCTAAATNACTAAATTGTTTAAACCCAACTAAACGCTAAATTGTACATGACCAAACAACAATCATATTATGTCAATTGCCACCGGAATTTCTGGTAATCTTTTTCATTTTCTTTGCCTTTTAAGTAGTTGCTTTTTCAACTACTTGGGGTCGGCCACCCTTATCCTAAGATTCCACTTGACACGATCTCCCACATCTTCTACGCTCACATCAGCTGTTCTCAAATTGCATTCAATAGCATCCCTTCATCTCTTTTTTGGTCTTCCTCTATCTCTTCTTTCTTCAACATTCATTTCTATAATTGTTCTTACAGCTTCTGATTCTTCTCTCCTTATAACATGACTAAACAATCTAAGTCTATTTTCTGTCATCTTATCCACGATTGACGCAACAACTTTATTTCCTCTTATATGATTGTTCCTTATCCTATCTTCTCTAGTCACTCCACTCATCCAACTAAGCATTCTCATCTCTGCTACACTTATTCTCTGCTCTACTTTCTTATCAACCGCCCAACACTATGAACCATACATCATAGCTGGCCTCACAATTTCATACTGAATTTAAAAACTATAATTAGTATTTATTCATATATTATATTTTAAAATCAAAGAACTACTAATCAGGATATAATTAAAGAAATAAGAGTTGATGTTGCTTTTGGAATAACGCCAATTTCTCTAAATGAAACACTATCTACAGATTTGCATCGAAGCGTTTCTTATGATAGTGATTTTAATCACTGTCAAATATCATCTATACTTGTCCTATCTATGTCTCGTCCACACTGTGCCTCGACTCCACCGTTTTTTTAATTCCACATATGTCCAAATTGATTTTTTATCTTCAAAGTTTTCTATAAATATACTAGCTGTCCCTTTTAAAAATATTGACAAAAATTTTACTTTATCGTTCTCACTCCATCTATTAATTTCACTTGCCTTTTCATACTGTCTGAAAAATTTTCTTATATCTTCAGTACCCGAAAAATAATCTGGTTTCATCAACCAAGATCGATTATTAGACTCTTTGCTTGTAATATTTGAATTTTTTGTTTCTATGCAATAAGTTAATGAAAGTAAGTCTAGAATTTTTCTCTCTGTTAAATTATTACAATTACTCGGTATTTGTTCTTCTTTAAAGGTTCTATTTAAATCGTCTATATCTTCATAAAAAATTTTTTTACCTAAGCCCCCTAATTTATTTTGATCACCCGACGAAGCGTTTTTAATATTATTATAAAAATGATCCGGTTTTGTAATATTTTTAACGTCTATAGAAATTTAATTTGAATACATAACTTTTTGTTTTTCTTAAAATCTACTCTAAAGTATGACTGTTGTGATTTTAGTTTTTACATTTTCCACTAATTTTAATAACTATTAATTTTATAATATTAATCTAAAGTATAATTTATTTTTGTCATAAACTACTATTCGGTTCTATACTATCGGAGTAATAATACAAACACAAATTGATTGCTAACAAACTATATAATTTTAATTTAAAATTCATTTGTTGTATATAAATCATTAGAAAAAAATATAAACAGATTTTGCTTATATATCATTGTAAAAAAAGTTAATACATTAAAATTTGATTGAAAGTCAATTGAATATGCATTTCCTGTTTTTCCTCTGTAACAAAGTGACATTTTGGTGTCGCCGTCGTTGTACGTTTTAATTTCATCGTCGGTCAACTGTATTCTGGTGACAAAAGCTTGTCGGTTGTTGGGCAACTGTGCCACCACCATAACACCGTTTCCCGTTGTCAAATTTTTCATTAAACCCCTCGATAGGTATTATTCTCTACCAAGTCAGACATTTTAATATATTCTATGCCTTTGGTTTGATTATTCATTTTTTGTTTTAATTGTTCCATTTTCTACACAACAAAATTATTCGTGAGTAAACTATATATGGTGAATATCGTATTAATAGTATATAACTCGACACTGATATGTACATTTTTGACAATAACTACTATCAGCCACAGTATGACGGAGGAGGAGACCACGTAATACAAATTTTCCGAAATTTGCACATAACTCGAAAACAATTGCAGTTAGTGCTATGAATTTTTTTTTTCGTCACCTCCTTCACCTCCATCCGCTTGCCACGAGACCATTAATTTGACATTCATATCGGTACCCTCTCATAACATACTACCCCTCTCCTCTCTCTACTTGTTTATGTTTAAGATAAATCACTGAACTGCAATACAGCCGATGCACTCCTTCAGCTATGTGTACTCCTCTAACCATTTATAAACTGAGTTGTTTTTTTGTTTTTTAATAATTCAGTTATTTACAAACTATTCGTCATCATATACTATAGAAATCATTGAGTGTGTATCGGAGCGTAGTACACACACACACATACATGTTTACATAAGATAATATTCTTTAACCTTTACAATATAATAAATACTAATCTATTCACCATTTCTTTTTACGATACTTACCCGGACAAATGACCTGATTGTTACTACATTGTTACCATTAGATTATTTAATAAGGAAATAAATACATTTTTTTATAAGTTAGTGAAAACAAAAGCACACACACACCATTAATACGACATATTTATATATTTATTTTAATTTTTCAATATAATACTTTAAATATATTTACAAAACTATATATAAATATATATACAACAATTAATCTACACTGTCCATGTAAATACTTGTTCATCACAAAATTTACACGAACAGTGAGGTAGAAAATGTAAAATTAAATAATACACAGAATAGGAGTTCAGAACAAACTCCTCAAGAACCTTCCGTACAATTATAAGTTCTTGAATATTTGATAACTTTACAAAACAAGTGCCTGAACTACAAACAAATGCCGTGGAGCCGTTGGGATAGCGTACATTATAAATAATAAATTTTAAATAGTTTTTTTGCCTCGAACAGCATCATTAAATTACCCGCCAGAATTTCTCTTTTATATAAATCGGCACAGCTCCGAAAGGTTCGTAATGCTTCCGGATCACGTACGACGACAAACCCATCATTCATTACTTCTTGGTCAAACTCTGTGCGATTTCGAAAAATTTTCAAGTTTTCAGCTATTTCCAAAAAATATACACTCCAGATCTTTTCATATATTCAACCAGGTGTTCTACATTATTTTCATTCGTTTGTAATTTCATTTTGAATAACTAAAATTATTGTAAACTTATAAGTACATTTTGAACTGAATAGTGATGTCTAGATAATAACTTACTTTGATTAAATACACAAAAACAGATACACTTGAAAAAGATACTGGAACGGTAATTTGAATATATTCAATAACCTAAAAATTTCTTATATGTATTTCTTAAAATTTTATAATTATAGTTTTAAATATGCATTGGTTGTGCGGACTACAAATGTGTCACAAAAAAATTTTAAAACTGTCATGTAAAAATATATATCTACTCTATTTATTAGGTGAATCTAAAAATATGGGCAACCATTGTAAGCACTAACATCATTTTATCCCTTCAATGCAACACGTAGCGTAGAGGTACTTATGAATTATTTTAGATAATAATAATAAAAAAAAAATGTANAACTGTCATGTAAAAATATATATCTACTCTATTTATTAGGTGAATCTAAAAATATGGGCAACCTTTGTAAGCACTAACATCAATTTATCCCTTCAATGCAACACGTAGCGTAGAGGTACTTATGAATTATTTTAGATAATAATAATAAAAAAAAAATGTATTTAATAAAACAATTTTTTGGTAAATTTTTATCAGTTTATCGATTTTTAAAATAAATAAATGCATTGAAGGGTTGAACAAAAAATAAATTGCAACTAAAAAGACAAATAAAAATTTTATTTGCACAATAAATGTAATCACTAATGTAATTTTACCCCTTCAATGCATCAAAAACTATATATATTCGCATTTCTTTTGAATTATAGTAAATAAAATTTTATTTATAAAAAACTTTTAGAAATTTATCAGTATAATCGATTATTAAAAATAAATAAATGTATTGAAGGGTGATGACATTATGACAATTTAAAAATTTTACTTACAATAAAAAGACTGCTAAAAGTCCACAGTAACACAGTAGTAGTTGATGAAAAGCACCATAAAAACACCAAAAAGAGAATGAACAGATAATGGGTTATTACTGCAGTTATAAAGTAAAATTTGTATTTTTAGACACAATGAAGTTAATTATTTGGGAATTCAATAACTTACTAGAGGAATCAATAAATTGCTTACATAGATTTTATTGTTTATTTCGCACAATATTGTAGATAGCAAAGAAAAACATATTTTAAGGTTAAAAAACGTATAGAATATTTACTACTCTATATTCTTTATCACATCATAATACTCATAGGATGTTGTGATAAGTGTTTATCAGTTAGGTTATTTGATAACAGATAATATATATTATTTAGCACCTTTCTTATGTTTACTATGATTTAATGTACGACACTACGGTTATTTGAGGAGTGTTATCTCCTCATTTATTACATTTAAGCGCCTGAAAGCAGCACCTCCTCCTCCCACCAATATAAATACGCTTATATTAGTTTCACATGTATGTTTGTTGTTTGTTGTAAGTTTGTAACTCCACGCACCACGTGTTATTATGTCGCGTATCCCGTCGTCTATGGCCTTGAGACTAGACTGTTGTAACGCATTCTCCCCACCCCGCTCACCAATCGACGACAACAATATTTTCCTGTATAATTTTTGGTTTTCGTACCCGTACATGTGAGCGTAACATCAATATTATATATATATACAGAGTGGCCCACCACTCACTTACAACTTAAATAACTTAACTATTAAAAAATATTAACTTGATCAAAAGTTATTTAAATTGTCAGTGAGTGGTGGGCCACTCTGTATATATATATATATATATATATAAACAAATTTTTATTGTTTATTTTTAGATATCATCATTTATAGATTCACATTTTTTTGAGTTAATATACATGGATAATACATAAGGGATTACAAATAACTGGTTTTTTATGACGATATTAGCAATCACATAGCCTTTATTATTATTGGTAATAAGACACATTATTGTGAGTTTATAAACACACTAACTGGCAATACAGAAATTATATCCATTGCTAGTGATAATTGACAATACACACTCCATGATAGTAATAGCGATGTCATAATAAGCTAAAAATTGAAAATAAATATAGTTTAAAAGCGTGTTTTTCAGTTTTTTTTTAACTATATTTATTTATTAGTTAATATTTAAATGTATATTGTGTATAAAAATTCACACATAATATGCATATTGTTATATTTCTATTCGAACTGTGTACTGAAAATTTATTGTTAGTGAAGTTATTACAGTTGTACGGTCAAATAGTTGTAGAAAACATCATCCATAATATTACGAAGTTAGTTGATAAAAAGTAGGTATTTTTTATTTTCATATTTATTTCTATACTATATCAACGTGATACATTTTTATAAATGTATTAATATACTTTAGATGAACGTTATTAATAAATAATGGTTAAATGGGATGAAAATTAAACATAGAAAGAATGTATCTGATCTTAAAGTAGGAGTTCAGTACAAGGTTTTGGGTTTGTACGTGATGAAATCAAAATATTCTAATAAAACACCAGTGGCTGAGGTGAAGCTTGACGACGAACCATCATTTCAAATTTATTTGCCAGTTAGGTTTTCATTTACTCGAGAAAATCTGGCAAAAGGAGTCGATAAAGATCTTGAAATTGTATCTAATGGACGAAAAGATTAAAGTTCGAGTTATGACATAATGTTTATATGAATTAATTTTGTGTTTGAAAAAAATGAAAATAAAAAATATTGATTATTACAAATTGTATTACATATAATTTAATCTTTAATGAAAATTTTAAGAATAGTTATGGATAAAATAAGCAAACGCACGTATTTTAAATTACAACGTGTAAACTAAAAAAAATATCCCACTGTTAAAAGTATATACATGAAAAGAAAAATGAGTGTGAAAGTAATTACTTGAAATAATAATTTGGAAACTTAATGTCTACAAAGTACAGATAAGAGTAAAAAAGAGTAATGTATACATCTATAATATGACATCAGTAAAATAACTTGATGAAAAAAAGTATATATAAAGATGTTATATTAAGCGTGTGAAAACGTCTATTAAATAAAAATTTCTTGGAAAATCATCTCTAGCCTGAGGACTGCTGCACGTTGGCATAAAATGTGCTGAGGTTTACAAAATGAAATACATAAAACCGAGAAAAACTCTCCTTTCTGGTTTAATAGTATTTCATTTGTTTAATCAGCACCTTAGAGTCTTCTCTATTTCAATATCATAATCATCATTATGTGTTATTTGTGTGATACTTGTAGAATGAAGTTCAATTTTTTGAAATCATTGATACGTCATGAGCAAACAGTACTCAATAAAATATGGCTGCAGTTGGTGTTTGAAGATATTTTCGAGAAAAGATAATTTCTCAATACATATTCAGCATACATACGGCTTGATAGGTTAGTATTATAATATTTAAATCTCAAAAATTAATTTTTTTATTAAAAAATGTAATTATAAATATAGGAATTGATAAAGTATTGAAAATACGTTCTGCAAATATAGAAAATGAAATAAAATCGGTCTGTGTGAAAAATATGGTTAATTACATGATAATATTATTCGCGTTTATTTTATATTAACTTAAATATTTTGATTATTAAAATGTAATTCAGTAGATAAAGGTAATTCGGTTAAGGAAAGCGAGAGAAACAATACTGATACAAAATTTTCTAATACTAGAGACAGCGACGATGAGCTCTACAAGTTGAAATTAAAAAATGATAAATTGTATTATTATTGTTATTATTATTATATCAGTGCTAGAAGCTGCAAATAAGATAGATGCAAATTCGATGGACGTTCAAGACAGCAATAATGAGTATTGTATGTAAAATTTTAAATTATAAAATGTCTATTATTATTATTAGTATTATTATTTCAACAGTGTTTGAAGTTGTGAAAAAAATGGATCCAAATTTGATAAACGTTCAAGTGGTAATCCTGGTAATCACGAAAGTTGTTAGTATAAAATAATAAAAATAAAAAACCAATGAATGTTATAGTCATTAATAACGATATTAATTATATTTCAGGTGATTGTGTAAACATTTCGCGTGCGAAAAAAGTTCAATAGATTTTTTGGGGAACATTAATGTACATGGAATAGAAAACGGCAATCCATGCTCCATAAATGATTTTATCAAACAAAACAGTAGCAGCAATAATGAAGTATTTGAAAATGCTATAAGAGCACATACAGCTGTGAAGACATCTTTAGATCTAGTAACTAAAAAATAATTTTTAACAATAATAATGTAAACACACCCGTTATTACTCAAACACTTAGTATTTCTCCATTTATTTTAACACCGTCGAGTAGTATCCCCGAGTGGGTTACTACTATTACACATCTACTACAGAAAAAGTCCGAAGAGGTAGAAACTCAAGGCAGTGGGTGGGTATTCAGAGGTGTTCTTTTCTTAGATATTAATACTTTCACGTATGATCCATTAAGGGGTGGGTGTCATTTTAATTTACCAAAAAAATTATTTCAAAAAAATGTAATTGTAAATGTTAAATGTAGGGAGGAAGATTGTTTTATTAGAGTGTGGTNTAATTGTAAATGTTAAATGTAGGGAGGAAGATTGTTTTATTAGAGTGTGGTTGCTAGTTTATTTCCGGTTCAGTCGCGTAATTTACTTTATTTAGATTAAAAAGACAAACCTTTCGGACATTTTTATTGTATTTCCAACTTAGAGCGGTTGGTATCCGTTCAACTTTAAAAGCATAAATCTCACAAATTTTTATGTGATGGCTGTCTATTATTATTTTATTCAGAAGCAAAACTACTCACTCACCAACTCGAAAACTGCACGAAGGTTAAAACGGTTCTACCGAAACCCCCCTAAAACATGGTTAAATATATATAACACTCTTGGTTAACAACGATATAAATATTTATTAAGTGATTGAAATGTTAAATAGATAATACAACCTGCTGGACACCTAGAGATGATATAATCCAATAGGGAGCTGATGGCGACACACACACTATATACGTGGTAGAAAAGTTAAGTTAATTATAAGATAATAGTAGTGGTCGCGATGATGGTAAAAGGTCAACTGTCGATAGGGATATATTATTATGGCACATTGGCCGTGAATTTCAAAAGTGTTTATGTGTGCAGTCCGCCCTCCTGTTAGTTAATATTGTTGTATGTCACAGTGTCAATTATATATATATATATATATATA